TCGTCACAGCGTCCGAACTTCTGGTTGTTGAAGCTTCCTTGGACTGCCAGATTCAAGAGTGACCTGCAGCAGAACAGACGACTGCAACATCAACTACCACTGCTGGAACACCACAAGGATCACGACCGGCGACAGCGTGACACGTCTATGACGTCATCAGACGGAAATTCAGGGACCCCTTTTTTGGACGCGGTAAACACACCAGTTGAAGACGCGTTCCAGGGACCATAGCAGAACGGTCACGTATCACTCCGCGAGCGTCGTAGGCTCAAGAAACGCGATCTTCCTCCGTGTCGTCTGTTTCCCAGACTTTGGAAAGAGGTTTTAAAATATCACTCTGGTTATAAAGCAATGCGATTATACTGTACCCAGCGGCTACACATAATGTTCAATGGCCAAGAAACCTTACAGTTTGTTCGAATTTAGTGCAATATGTATATTTTGCAAACGCAAAGCGAGAAACACGGTCCGCCCGAAGCTCGCCACCCGCAATGTCGCTTTCCCTGATGGAAATTGGATTCCGCTCGGCGCACGTGGCCGCTTCTCTAACAATACGGAGTTGGCGGCGCTCGGAAAAAGAACGCAATACTCTGGCTCTGCAAGAAGAGCCTATACAGTTACTCTAGGGTAACCTAAAGCCCTTTCATGTCTTAAAAATAGCACAAGGTGCGTCGATGCACGAGGCACGTGCAACGTGCAGCCCTTGGGTAGATCATTGCGACACAGAGCAGCACAGAGCTAGGCTTCAGACGCCATGTTCTCCCCAGGAGTGGCGCGCGGAACCTGTCTGGAGCATTTCCACAACAATGAATGGTGCCACTTCTCCCAAGATAGAGGGGTTTAGGGTAATCCTTCAGCCAGCGCCACCAATAAGCGTGGTGGCCTCTACGCGAAACAACCACAAACCACACCGAAGAGAAAAAAGCAAGAAGGAGGCTACTGGCGGGTAGAGAAGCGAAAGGGCGGAATGGAGGGAAATCGACAGAAAATGTTCTCCGTTCATGAAAAAAAAAAAAAAAGGAGAGCTTACCGCTAGGGCATTATTTGGCGCTACCAGAGAGAGCCCCTGCGCGCGCCGTCTTTACAGATCGTATTTACCCTTTAAAGCGGCCACGTTACTTCGCGATTTGACAGGCATTCTACAACAAAGGAGGCTATGTCCGGGGGCGTCCTCTTTTAAGTCAGCAAGGCGCGCCCTGGGCTTTGCTCGTACAGACCTTTTCATCCTCCTCCGCATGGGCGCTGCCATCTTGGAATCACGTGACGCGGCAGCCATTAGGTTGATTCAACTTGCTACTCCGCTCTCCCCTCCGCGCCTTGGCGAATGCGTTGTATTCGTGTTTTTCGTCGCGTTTCACCGCGCTTTCTTGTCTTACTTCGGAAACTGTAGTCTGACACTACTACTCGACGACTAAGACATCACGAGGGTTCAAAGGTGCTTATGAAATCGAGGTTTGTTTACTAATAGTGACGTAACATTCTCGGTAAGAAGCGCGTATATTTATATCGCACATTTAGGACCGGAAGGCGTCGAGAATAGTCAGCGCAAGGAGTCTAACTGTATTTCCTGAAAGGAAAGTTTCGATTACAGTTTTCAAAAGAAACTGTTATCGAAAACAGTTTCTTTTTATTATGTGAGGAAACTCGCGGAGGGGATAGACAACGAACGTTTAACTTGTATTTTATCTGAGGCTAAAAGTAATGGTACGTCAACATCAGGCAATTTGTTTTTTCATAATATCACACATACTTGTGTTTGAGGTTCTCAATCTTTTTTTGTGACGTAAACATTCGGTTGGTCGGTTTACCTATGAAGCTTAAAAAATTGTATACTGTGCTCGCTCCCATTTCGACAGTCATTTAAGTGATTTATTGGTTATGTTTAGATAACAAGTGGCATTTACTTAATTAATCTTAGCACAAAGGTCGAGTCTTCCCGCATAAAAAGCTACCACAGACACTTAGCAGTATCGAGTTTTAGGTTACCGTGCACAAAGAAATAACATCGTTTCTATTTGCAAATCCAAAACGCGGTTTGGGTTCGGCGCATGCGCAATAACAACAACGCTTTTTTTTTTGCGTATGCTGTTTTATTTTTTGCCTGTATCTGGAGCCCGCAATAATTGACGCCAAATAAAAAGAAAGAGCCGTCTGCATAACAATTACTTGTGTCCATGATTGTCGATGGCGAATAGAGGTTTACTTTTTGTGACCGGCGACGCCGAAATTTACAAAGCGAATCTGTTCAAACAAATAAATATTTGTTCACACAGGTCCGTGAAATGGTGCCTAGCACTAGAATTCAGCCAAACTTTCAGAGGTATTTCTCCTCCTGTGCCCTGTAATTTTATTTGGCCAATTTTACAGAAGGCAAATGCCAGATTTAATTTGACGGGACTGTCACTTATTCTTGAGTAAGCAAATGTTCATATAAAAATAATTTATTTCCTAAGGCAAATATCGTGAAATTCTGCTTATGAGTACTTTTGAAGGGTTGATAATTAAGAAATTTTCTACTCGGCCTGTCAAAACATAGTCGAGTACTGAGTTTAAAAAAATGCCGAGATGATACTAATTGGTTATATCAATTATCTGCGTCACCACACGATACGTTTTAGTCTGCGAAGTTCACTAAAGGCTGGGTGCCCACTAAAACCAAACAGTGGGTAGTAAACTCGCGAGTTCATCTGTTCTGGCTGATTTAGCACATTGCTAATCAAACTGTCGATATGCTTCTTTACATTCACCTGTTAGTCTCTTCATTAGTTTCTTTTTCTAAAAACTGGGGTCATCGGGCACGGCCGCAGACGACGGTAATCTTCCGTGTACATCAGTCACGCGTTTCGCAACCGACCATAATCAGATACACCAAAGGAGTTGGTCAAAAAGCCCGCAGTTTAGGCTAAATAAAATAACCTCGTAGTCCTCAAAGTGGTTCGATACCACTGTTTCATTGGTTGTGTGCTACAAAGAAAATAATCGCATCACAAAATTAAGCAAAAGCAACGTAAAAGAGCAACATAGCCGAGTTCACGTTGAAAACGAAACCAACCAAATTGAAGCAACCTAATGGGGCCGAGTGCGTCAGCGCCCTCTGTCCGTCGGTGAGGCAACTACTAAAATATGTAAGGGAATAGTCGCCTTAGATTAACAAGTTTACGCCTCCTTTTTTTCTTTTTCCTTTTTTTTTTTTTTTTTTTTTGCTGCTTGAATTTGTGATGCGTGACGTAAAGAAAAGCCTTCAGTGCCTTCAGCCGTAGAGTTATTATACTGTGCGCTAGAGGTTCAACTGGCGCTAGTGTGCTGCTGCAAATTGAAGCGGGCAGCAACCAGTCGAAGACTGACTTCCGGTAATGCATTTCTATGGGGAAAAGTGAGTGCATTTTCTCCCTGCGCTGGATTATAAGAGCAAATATCACGAATAATTCGTATATACAAATAGATTGGAACATTTCCCAGTCACGCAGACAGACTAATTGGTCTGTTGCGGCGTTTTTCTTTTAAATGCATGGCATTAAAAACGGTGTTAAAATGGATGGCGTCGTACATTTGTTTATGTAAGCTGTCCGACACTGTTAGCGCGAACACGGCAACGGCGCTTTTCAGCAGGAGGTAATACGAGCCAAAGCAATGAAGAGCACCTTGGAAAAGAAGAGAGACGTAAATAACTACGCAATAACACTAGGTCAGTACCTACATGTGAATGTAGAGGATAAAAATTAAGCCGATTAATAAGAGCAGTTTGCAATAAATAACGTTCGTTTTATTCACTCTGCTGCTCAATATATCCATGGGTACAAACGTAAGTTAGCTCTGGTGTTCAAACCTCATATCTGCATGCTCGAGAACATTTTGTTTAATGGGGAAAATCTAGAAAACTATACTCGCCCGATAGATGTATTACAATAATAAAAAGAAAAACACCTTTTATAGTGCGCGTACTCCTACCGTTTAGCGCGTTTTTCCCGCTAGTAAATGGGGATCATTTTCATTGACTGACGGAAGAACTTGATTGAAAAAGGGGTCGTTTTAGTGGCATGTATATCTCGCAGATTATTAATATTAGCGTCACCGAGACGTTGGCTCCCCTTAAAAACGTCCTTCGTTATCTTCGACTCGTATTCAAGTCAAATTCGCCGCTTGTCTTTATACACTTGCCGTGGAACATAGGACTGAAGCCGGAATATTTTAAATTTAAACATCGGTCAATGATCAGGAAAAAAAAAGTGATCAGCCGAATTTTATGAAAAGAAAAAAAAAACTGTCACGAAGAACCATCACGTTAATTTCCCCGCCGAGATAAAGAAAACACTGTAACTACTGCAGTGTCAATTTTGTAGCGTGAATAAAGTTTCCTCCTATGCAGTACAGCACAAGAAAGTTCATTTCTGTTATTCTCCGGCGATGAGACAAAATGCACGGGAGATTTCCCGTAGGAATGTGCAGGAGAACCACAAAAGTGGTCTGGTTGCTGAGTGCTTCAATGTGGATCCGGATGTGCCATAGACACTAGCGCTAGTCGAACCTCTTGCGTACATGATGATTACTCTAAGGCATGTTGCTGCTGCCGCGCCACCTGCATCGGAGTCTGCTCAAGCGCCGCGCGAAAAGTGCTCACAGTTTGGCAATTTAGCCTCCTTCTTCTATAGAAGCAGCTCCCGGCATTCCTTGCGGTGCAGCAGAGGGCGCTGCACGCTTTGCGAATATGAAACCCCTTGATGCGTTTCTGTTTGCAAGTAGCGTCAAATGCGCCTCGTGCAGTACAGCATGAGGCGCATGCCTGGTTTAGCCCTTGGAAGTAAATGGCGGCGATTGGCTCAAATAAGCGGCCCTTGGAAGCGAATGACGGCGGAGCGATCGCTCGTGACACTTGTCTAGCGCTTTCCGACGACAAGGATACTTGCAAGACGCGCGAAGCGCCAATTTTATGGATGGACGTTTTATGCGAAAGGTATGTTTCGTTCAGTGGTGTCATTTCATTTTGCCCATCGGAAACGCAGGAAGTCCAACATCGTGGAAACGATGTTCCAGATGCTCGAGAAGTATTCGAACAACCTGGAAGACCTGATCAGGGAACGCACTGTTCAGCTCGACGAAGAGAAGAAGAAAACCGAACAGCTGCTCAACCGCATGCTTCCCAGGTAGGAATCGACGAATCAAATAAGAAGAAAAATTAAAGAAGCTCGATCATGTTGATACAGACAAAGAGCGGTAAACAAATATTGTGCTGAGTGCGAAGTGCTACCTCGCAGAGCCACCTCGGAGAAGCTAACGTCACGTGACTTGAAGTAACGTGACCTGTTCACGTGGCATCGATTTCTCCGCTAAATGAATCGGAGAAATTAACCTGACAGATGCTCGTAAAAGCTGTCTAATGGAAATCGGTTGATAAAACACATTCTATGTAAAAACGTACCAGCGACCTTTATATTCAAAGTTTTATAGCGCATGAAATGCAATCTCTAGTAAGCGACCCTTTAAATTTATTTTTTCAGAAAACATGAAAAAGCCCTTTGGGGGAGTGAACAAAAAATCTCGTTTAAATTCCCCGTTAAAAGAGAGTTTTAGTAGATCATTCCCATGACTCCGATAACGATACCCGATACTCCTCCACCGCCTCCCTTGCGCATGCATAGTATCGTTATCGGGGCTATCGGAGGTATCAGAACGATCTACTAAAACTCTCTAAAGTTAGAGGGGAAATCGACGTCGCAGTTTCAAAACGTGGTGTTGTGTGACGCTTCAATTCCCCCCCCCCCCCCCAATTTAGCGCATAAATTAATTTCTTATTATCTGACATTACGTGGCAGGGTGACGTCATCACGGTGTCAAGTCGCGGTGCCGCACTTAAGGCCCGGCGTCACCGGACCTCAATTTCCTCGTGAAATGTAGCGGGTAAATCGACGGACAGACGGACGTACGGACTGACATAAACACGGAGTTTTAATATATAGTTTCGATGCTTCCGGTAAAGATACAGAGAACAATACGTTGCAAGCGCAAATGCGTCAACAGAGTGTCGGCTGTCGTCATCAGCGAAATCGGAACTGATATAAAGCGCCTTAATTTGTCACTAAGGGGTTTCGTTAAAAATTATTTTATGCTTTAAAACTACCTCGATGTTTAGCATTTCGACTCAATACGCACGATTCCAGGACCAAAATAATTCCCATTCCGACTGAATGGGATATTATACACTCGGTTATAAACTGAATCGACCATACGGCAATTTCCTTATGGCGAAGCAGGACTTCAGCTTAAGTGTGCGTCGCCAACGCTGTCTTTTATTTTGCACTCATTATCTTTTATTTCCCGCCGAGTGGCGGCGCAGTTCCGTAGCTGAAACCTTGAAGGCAGGCCTGCCCGTGATTCCCGAGAAGTTCGAGGAAGTGACGGTCTACTTCAGCGACATCGTGGGCTTCACCACCATCTCGGCCTACAGCGAGCCCATGGAGATCGTCGATCTGCTCAACGATCTCTACACGGCCTTTGACTCCACCATCAATCATTACAACATATACAAGGTGAGCCCAGCTACCGTGCCTGGAACACGTGTTCGACAGGCGTGTTTAAGGCCTGTTCCCACATGCAGCGGAGCGCTACAAGCATAGCGCTTACCTCGCGCTAAGCGCGTGCTGATGGGAGCGTTCACCAGCTTTGTATCGCACCGTCAAAACTGTTGCTCATGGCAGACGATAAGTAGCTGACGGCACGTGAGGAGCGCTACATCAGCGCTTCGCTGCATGTGAGAACCGACCTTTAGTGTCCTACACCGCTCTCATTAGGCAAAGGAGTTTCAAAGGTGACAACGAATTGCGTCACAGGAGCCGGCTTGTCGTGTTGTCTGATGCCGCGACCCTTGACGGTCGGTCGTAGAAGTTCCAACAAAACAAGACCACAGAGAGCAGGTGTCGCAGCTATTGCCGCTGCGTCCCAACCCGCTGTCGCAAAAGCTTCCTTGACAGTCGAGCTGCGAGCAAGCTGCAGCAATACACATCTAGCCGCTGCTCCACCTCCGCTACTCTGCCACTACCAAGATCGCGGCAAGCAGCAGCGTTACACATTTATGACGTCATCACCCGGAAATCAAGGGAGCACATTTGATGTCCAAGTAAACACTAGTCTGAGACGCGCTCCTTGTGTCATAGTTCAGCTGAACCGAAGCTGAGCTGGGTGTCTTCACATCAGACATGACAATACACTTTTTTAAACCTCAAATCTTAAAACGGGTGTCTTCATAACACACTAAGCAATACACTCAACTAAATTTCAAACGATAAAACAAGAAGTTTTATCATATAAACTGAATAATTTTATTTGCATGGCACATGTAAGTTCAGTCAGTTCGAGTCACTAATGAGTCAGCGGTTCAGATAGTGAGAACACGACATGCATAATTGTTTTTTATCTTGCTGGTTAAAGAACAATAGAAAAAATAGGCTTAGGTGGCAGTGGTCCACGCGTCGATGAATGCCGCCTCAGAGATGAGACACCTCCTCCTCCCCCCCCGCCAAAAAAAAAATTATTTTTTGCCAGGCGATTTAATACGCTGTCAAACGAATACCCAATCAATATTTTGCTACAGCGTCGCGTGTATTTTTCATAAAGAAAAAAAAAATGAAAGCCGTTTACAACTCCCTGTAACGCCGAATTTGAGCGCAGCTCTTGAGGAGGAGGAGGGAAAAGTACTGGGGGGATCAGTTGACCTCGGGGGGGGAGGGGTCACGTGACCTCGGGGGTCACGTGACGATGACGTCATCAGTGGTGATGACGATGACGATGCGGATGCCGATTACGTCATTGGCATCCGCATCGCCATCGTCATCATGACTGATGACGTCATCAGTGACGTCACTGATGACGTCATCGGCATCGTCATCATCATCATCACTGATGACGTCATCGGCGCGTGACCCCCCAGGTCACGTAACCCCCCCAGCCCCTAGGTCCTCCCGAAGGAACCCGAGGTCCTCCCGAGGTCCTCCCGAAGGAGCCCGAGGTCCTCCCGAGGTCCTCCCGAAGGAACCCGAGGTCCTTCCGAGGTCCTCCCGAAGGAACCCGAGGTCCTTCCGAGGTCCTCCCGAAGAAACCCGAGGTGCTTCCGAAGTCCTCCCGAAGGAACCCGAGGTCCTGGGGGGGTCACGTGACGATGACATCATCAGTGACGATGACGATGACGATGCGGATACCGGTGAAGTCATTGGCATCCGCATCGCCATCGTCATCGTCATTGATGACGTCATCAGTGACGTCACTGATGACGTCATCGGCATCCGCATCGTCATCGTCATTGTCACTGATGACGTCATCGTCACGTGACCCCCCCTAGGTCCTCCCGAAGGAACCCGAGGTCCTCCCGAGGTCCTCCCGAAGGAGCCCGAGGTCCTCCCGAGGCCCTCCCGAAGGAACCCGAGGTCCTCCCGAGATCCTCCCGAAGGAACCCGAGGTAGGAACCCGAGGTCCTTACGAGGTCCTCCCGAAGGAACCCGAGGTCCTCCCGAAGGACCTCGGGTTCCTTCGGGAGGATCTCGGGAGGACCTCGGGTTCCTTCGGGAAAATTTACCCATAATGCACCGCGCGGTTACGCCGACGGTGACGGCGACGGCGACGGCGACGGCGACGCCGCTCAAGCCGGAAACGGGCGCCTAAGAGCTGCGCTCTAAAAAGAAATGCAACTGCTGCAAAACGAAACCATAACTGGACTAGGGAGGGAGGAGAAATGTAGAGGAGAGACCTGACGGAAGGCACCAGGCTACACTCGACCGCGTGTCGTTTTTTTTTTATTTTTTTTTTATTTATTATTTATTATTTTTTTTTACATTGGAGCTGGTAAGGGCTGGTTTCCCCAGGATCATGTCCCCCGGAAACAAATGAAGACCCCGAACTCTGGACATCTACCGCCATCTATGAGCGACGGCGGCAAACCACGTACCTGGTACCTGGTTGCCGCCGTCGCTCATAGATGGCAGCAGCCTTTCCCCTTTCTCTGGCTTGCCTACTTGCGGTCGGCCGTTACTTTCCGCGGTACAGCTCCTCTGGTCTTCCTTCTTCGCCAGAGTGGAAAGGCAAAAAGCTTTTTTTTTTCCTCCATTTTTTTTTCTTTTTTGTGAGAAGCAGACTGAAACTCGCCCGTCGCATGTCGCACGAAAAACGTAGACTCCAAGCTCTTTCTGCATGATGTTTGCGCGTTTTTCAAGCTCTTACCAGTTGGTATTCGTACAACGAGGGATGTCTTCAGCCAGGAGAAGGGGCGACGACTTGTCGACGTCTTCGCGCGAATCAGCATGGTGGTGCGGCGTGTCGGGTGTGCAACTCCTTTTTTACCAACGTATTTACAGCTTTTTACAAGTCACGAAAATAAGTTTCCAATTTTAGAGCACAGCTCTTAGGCGCCCATTCCCGGCTTGAGCGGCGTCGGCGTCGCCGTCGGCGTCGCCGTTGGCGTCGCCATCGGCGTAACCGCGAGTAACCCTCGTAACCTCGTGAGGGTTACGAGGGTTACGAGGGTTAATCTCACGAGTGTTACCCTCACGAGAAGCTCGAGGGCTACTAACCCTCGTAACCCTCACGAGGGTTACGAGGGTTACTAACCCTCGTAAGCCTTACGAGGGTTACGAGGGTTATGAGAGTTACCCTCACGAGGGTCACGAGGGTTATGAGAGTTACCCTCACGAGGGTCACGAGGGTTACGAGAACACCCTCACGAGGGTCACGAGGGTTACGACAGTTATTCTCATGAGGGTCACGAGAGTTACCCTCACGAGGGTCACGAGAGTTGCCCTCACAAGGGGTTATCCTCACGAGGGTCACGATGGTTACCCAGGTCACGTGACCCCTCCCGGGGTCAGGTGACCTGGGGATACCCTCCCGCCGAGGTCACGTGACGCCCCGTTGACGTCATCGCCACTGATGACATCACTGGCATCCGGATCGTCATCGGCATCATCACTAATGACGTCATCAGCAACGTCACTGATGACGTCACCGGCATCCGCATCGTCATCGGCATCGTCACGTGACACCCCAAGGTCACGTGATTCCCACAAGGCCACGTGACCCCCCAAAGTCACGTGACCCCCCCTCCCCCAAGGTCCCTTGACCCACCCCCCAGTACCCTTCTCTACTCCTCCTCAAGAGCTGCGCTCTAATTCGGCGTTACAGGGAGTTGTAAACGGCTTTCATTTTTTTTTTAATTTTGAGTGTGTGTTTTAAATTACTTGCAACTTTGATTATATTTGGTGTGTTTGTCTGAACGCCATGTGACCACGGAATAGAAAGTGAGCGCGACTCAAACCGGCCAATTGTCAATTGCTATTAAAAAAAAAAAAAACGAATTTCGTGTCGCAAATTGTGTTACGGGTATTTGGGCTCTCACTTGTCATGTACAAATAAAACCTTGGCGAGCATAAAATCCCTGTCAGTGTCTCTTTAAAAAGGCACCAAAGTGTTTTTCTGAGATCCTCGTTTTGTGGTCATAATTCAATCTACGCGGTCTATACATCCTTACCAAAAATAAACCACAAAATTACATTCATACGCAGCCGATTTGCATATTAAAGAAGTGATCAAAGACTGCGACACTTACCATTGTCACACAACGACAGATGGCGTTACCGATCCCTGTGACGCCAGTGGGATCTGTACCCAAAAACGTCTATAGCCAAATTTGAAGAGACAGATACAATGCGCAAGATGTAGAAAGAAGGCCGAAACAACTGAGCATGTGGTTCTGAAATGTAAGAAGGTCAGTCCTGCCCCTCTCGAGGAGGCGACAGACGTACCGGTGGCCTTTGATTTTGCTGGAAAAGATGGAAGGGTGGGTTATAGAAGTGAAGAGGAAACGAAGAAGATGTTGTAAAGTGGGGATTTGGGCCAGTTGGTTCATTGCAAGCAAAAAAGCGCCGAAAAAATACAGGGACACAGACGAAGGGAAACAGGACAAGGCGCCTTGTCCTGTTTCCCTTCGTCTGTGTCCCTGTATTTTTTCGGCGGTTTTTTGCTTGCGAAGAAGATGTTGCAGTGATGGTGGACATTATATGCGGAAAATTGAACCAAATACAGCAAACTATAACACAGCTTGGGGACAGAGCGAAATTGGGTCTCTTTCTCGCGTGGCTCTGGTTCAAGGTCTCAGCTTCGTTCTCCAGTGGGACTGCAGTTAGTTGACGCCGACAAGGTTCCACCAGAGGAAAATTGGCGTTTCCCCCACAAGGAAAAAAGCAAAAAATTGTTTTTAGTTTTTTCTTCTTTTCTTTTTTTTTTTTTTTTTTTGTCCGGTCCTTCAAAGGTTTGCTTGGCAAGCACCTTCACGGCCTGGTGGTAGTTATACAAAAATGCATTGGCCTGAAACGGCAAAGGTAATTCTGGTGTTTGTTGTTGTTTTTTAGGCAAGGTGGCGCAAGCTACCGCCCATTATAAAGAGAGCAGCCGTTAGTATCAAAGCCGTATATCTAGAGTGTTTGGCCATTCGTTGGGAAGTATAGGAGACAAATGAGGAGGCGCCATTGGTCGAAAGCGGGCTGGGCGTGTTCCAGGGCATCTTGAGAAATTCGAATGTGGCCAACCAGAAGTCCGAAATAATACCCTGGCGGTGGTCGAGAGAAACAAACCTGATATGTCCATCGGAGTGACTCTCAATGACTGAAAATATGGTGCACGTGATGTTTCAATCACGGTCATCCAAAACTATGGTGGAAGGGTGTGACGAGCGGAACGATCGACATAGTCCGTACGCCAAGTGCTGAGGGCCGGGAATCTGACTTCCGAGCGGTCACACTCTGTGCGAGCAAAACAGAGTTGAGCGGCGCATTCATTTCTTACAACTTTCTACATGATAGTGATCGAAACATCACGTGCAACCTATTTTCAACCATGAAGGGTTACTACATTTAACTCTTACGCTCTTATTAAAACGCCCAAATCTGTTTCTCGCTACCACCACTAGGGGATTCTTTTCGGCTTCTTTTTGGCCAAGAGAACATGCCAAGTCGACTTTCTGCGCCTGGTGCACGCCCTGGTTCTGCCCGCGCCTCCCATTGACCAAACTTTCTGTGTACACAGCTCTGGTTAGTATCCATCAATCCATCAGTTGAACACAAAGCGCGTGATTGGATACGAGTTCACGCCGAACGCTGACACTGCCCTCGTGTCCAAAACATGCTCATTGTGCGTGATCAAGCAATGGCCGACAGGTGTTGGGGCGGGTTTTTTAAATGGGTCCATTGGCGATCGTTACGGTTCGCAAATGCGATTTTATAAGCTCTATCTACGGTGCCAGGAAGCTCAGACGATCATTGTTTTGCTCTGCCGTGAACTGTTTCAATATTAGTGAGGTTTAGGGGACGGGTTTCGCGCATCCAATGCGGTACGATGGGCCCTCCAGTACCAACTGCCCATGTGCGAGTATTCTGCGGCCGCGCATGCGCAGTTTGTGCCGGAGGGATCATCGTACTATATCGGATGTGTAGAAACGGTTCCCTAAAACTCTCTATTATTAGACGACGGAAAACCGCGGCCCGCGATTTCAAATAGGCTTCAGACCACTGGCAAGAAAATATTTTCAATATCAAGGTGGCAAGAGTGACGTCACGTTGAAGAGTTTATTACATCGTTGCTCTAGTCAGAGTCTCACGCAAGAGGTCTGCTGCTTCACGGTGTCGAATGAACTCTTCATTATCCTCTACCTCTGCCCTGGCTCCGAAGGTGGAGACGATCGGCGACGCGTACATGGTGGTGGGCGGGCTGCCGGAGCGTGTCCGGGACCACGCCGAGCAGGTGGCCACCATGGCACTGGACCTGCTGCACCTGTGCGGAAAGTTCAAGATCCGGCACATGGCCAATGTGCCCCTCATGCTCAGAATCGGCCTGCACACCGGTCAGCCCCCTCTCTCATTTTTGCGCTAAAATAATCTTTTTCTTTTTTAAGGCTGCTTTTATGTTTGCACGTATTTCGCTTTTCCCTGGTGCAGCAAAGAAAGAAAACTTATGCGCACTTGGCCAGTACATTGTCACTGAAGTGGATCGTATACAATATGCTCCATTTTATTGATGCTGATGAAAGCGTAGCCGTCTGTCTTTTATATATTACAACAACAACAAAAATATGCCATTTCGCGCCGCATGGTAACATATGTGTAGTAGTCTTTGATCCACAGAGATCAGCTACTCTTTCAGATCGATCCTTCCTCAAACTTACTTTACGCACCACAAAAGAAGGATGCCTCGGAACTGGTGTGCAGACCGACATGCACTGGCCGCACTGCACACTGAAAAAACGAGTACCGTCTTAATTCTTTCAATAGGAAAGTTTTGCAAACTGTTACCGTATTCCGCGGTAACGGTTTGCAACCTATGCAGCGACGTAGTGCGTTATCCAAACTGACACGCCAACACCTTGTTCAAACATTATCCAAAATGACGTTCAACTCTTAATGACCTTCCTTTGCATTGATGATTTGTTTGCTAGTCATCACGGCGAGCTTTGAGTAAGGCAATTTTAATACGAAAGCATTATATGCCCCATTGCGCGAAAATCGGGCGTCGTCTGTGGCGTGGCCGAGTGAAGGTACCAAAAATGACAGACGGCGCAAAGAGTAAAAACGCGTCAAAAATGCTCGGAATGACGTCAATTTTTTCAGGTAGGTTCCTGTAAACAGAGTTAAATAGTGGCTTTAAAAATAAAATTTGGTACATTACGGTGTGGGTGGGAGTCAAACCCGGGTCTTCGGGGTGCGAGACGCAAACACTTTCCCGACGCCAGGGCGGCTCACGGTTCTGGCTTACTAAAGGTGTGCCTAGTGCGTGAGTCATTGGGCACATGACGGCGCAGCCAATGGGGAAGAGGTGGCGCCAGGTCTTGAGTGTATAAAAACATTTCATCAAAGGTACTGTAATGGTTTCGCACTCCCACACATAAGCAGTCTTAAGTGTATCTGCCGAATTCGTATTGTCTACCATGAACAACATTTGTGATTTTATCAAACGAATCTCGGAAACGCGTGCTGTGAGCACACGCAAAAACAGTTTACACCTTTAAGACTATAAATCAGGTTACCCTAGGGCTAGCATCCTTAGGATCAGGGATGGCCAGTATTTCAAATACAAGTATTTGAAAAACGTATTTCAAATACTTTGTGTATTTTGAATTTGTATTTAATTACAAATTGGGTAATGTATTTGACTTGTGTATTTAAATACTAAAACGTGGGTATTTCAAATACAATTGTAATTAAATACAATTTTGTGGGCGAAAATACATTCCTCAAATTTATTGTTACTGTCCACAGCAGGAAGAAAACTACGTTCTGCACCGAATGCAGTGTCTCTCAATCAAGCACAAGCGTTTAGTGACTTTGTAATTACGGTGCTGGTCCAGAGCAAGAATAGGGACGAAATCGACGTTCATAGGCAGACTGGCTAAATAAGTGCCTGTGACAACTCGTGATGCTTTCCAGCCTGATTTCCATCCATTATTTTTCCTGGAACATTCTAAATGCGCGGGTCGTCCAGATTTTCATAACTGGTGCGAGTTGCAACATTAAAAAATTTTCTAGCTAGTGCTGCGCGTCTTGGTCGTCCCGGTTCTTTATTGGTCTATATTAAAATGTAATCGACAAAACAATCTGCTTGAAGCTCTGTACTTTTTTCACCTATTACGTCCAAGCTTATTACATTTTTTTGTGATTATATTTCTATTACGTTACTAGAGCCCCGCAAACTAACTCCCGAGTGTGCGATGCAAAAGTAAAATGAGATACCAAGAAACCCGTTGCAGGTGCCCTGAAATCGCTGACGAAAATTTTGAGGAATGTATTTGGAAAAGTATTTGGAGGACACCACATACATTTGGTTGTATTTGTATCTTGTATTTAAATGCTTTTTTGGAAAATATAATTAGAATTGTACTTAAATACATTTCTGACGAAGTATTTTGTATTTGTATTTCGATACATATATCTGCATGTATTTTGCTCACCCCTGCTTAGGATATTACAGGAATACTTTTGGGATGTTGGTGAGCACTAAAAATAGGATGCTGGCGATCTTAGCAGCATTCAAGGCGTGGTATTTTACAAGCAACATGTTAAAAGCAGCAAGCAACACCTGCAGTATAGACGTGCAGATGAACAGGAAACACAGACGCAATGACCACGTATGGCATGGGAATAGCGACCCCGTTGACTGCTTTACCGCCCTGTATACTGGACAGTGCAGATACCCTAATTTGAAGAAAACCATCTCTGCAACTACGAAGAGTACATTACGTTCTTTGCTCTTGTAAATATTTCACGTAAAGCATAGTAAATATAAGTTTAATCATCTATCTACAAGTAGAACGCAATAATACAGGTCATAATTATCTGACCTAGTCGCTAAAACAAGCTGTTTGAAGTGTGTTTTAGGGCAGTTCTACGGTGCGGTGTTCTCGCCCAGGCCGTGGAACCCTTTTCCACACCACGTTTACACCCTTCAAAATAAAGGGTGTTTTTCAAAGCAGTACCTGTTTTTCACGCAAAATATGGGTACTACTACTCGGAATAAAACTACTGGAAAGGTAAACCCATGTGTGTGAGTCTCTGCAACACCATTTTTACATTTTTAGAGTACACGCGCTTGACCGCAGGGCACACATGACTGTCAATATAGTGATCTCTAAACTGGAAAGAGATAACCCTTGAGTCTTGCTCAGTCGCTCCCAATGCACACAGCACGACTCGAGCATACGAATGGCATTTTCGATATTATGCTATAAATTGCAGTCGCTCAACTAGGAATTCGTTCCCAGCGAAGAGCACAACGCTGAAGGCCGATTCTCTTGAAAGCAGGCCACTTTTGCAACCGGCAGGTCCTGTGGTGGCTGGAGTGGTTGGCCTGACGATGCCTCGCTACTGTCTGTTCGGGGACACCGTGAACACCGCCTCTCGGATGGAGTCGACGGGCCGAGGTAACCTCCTACTCTCGCTGCCCCGCACGCGAGAACTATTTATGGGAGGACACAAAGGTAATCCTCACTTAGAGTATCGACACTCGCCGATTGTCCTTTGGGCATCGACTTTTCCTTATACCTAGTGTACAACGGGTTCAATTTTCGATAGTGGGCGCCATCTAGCGGCTGCCGGGCCAATCATCCGAGTCCGCCATTGTATGGGCAGCGTACATTGAGCATGTATCGGACACAAGGGCTGTGTCAGCGTTCGACGAGGAGTCGGAAGACAAGGCCTGCACATGACGTCATCGTTAGTGAATTCCCGACCAGCCCAAAGCGGCAGGCGCGCTGAAGCTCAAGGAGAGCCGCCGCAAAAGCGCAAGTTGCGTCCGTCTTGGCGTCACCGTGTGCTAGCGTCGCGTTCCTTGTGAGACGCTGCAAGACGCCAGGCTAGGCGGCGCTGCGCAGAACCACTAGTCATGACGTATGAAAGGGAAAGGGGCCGGCCTTGTCATTTTGTTCATATTGGCTGATGTGTTATTCAGGGGCTCTAAAGAAGGCTGATGAGCGGCGTCTCCTTCCCAGCATACCGGATTCATATCAGCCGAACCACAGAGAGAAAGCTGAGGCAGGCTGGCGGCTACCATGTCAAGTACAGGGGCGAGATTGTGCTCAAGGTGAGTGTTATATTTAGACTAAACATGTATACGACTAGGGTTTTGCAAAAACAAAAATATATCCCCCAAAAGAGTGGCGCAAATTTAGCGCATTCATGCCTTGCAAAACTTAGCGGAAATAATTCCAAGATATATTTTGTCGGAAGCCTCAATCGTCACATGGAGTTCCGCGAGCTAGCGGAAGCTCGCAAGTAAATATTTTCCTCAGCTTAAACAACGCACATTCTTTGTCTCCCCACATCGTTGGCGCTTCCACTTTCTTGTATTTCACTTCAAAACGATATTGGCAGGCACCATTTGTCCTTTTAGTTTAGTTTCCAAATGAGCACTTTACACCACACAGGTAGTTCTAAAGGGGTACGGAAACAAAATGTTTGTACTTATTTCTTTGTTTAGACGTGGTCGATGATGTGCCGGCAACCCAGAAGGAGTAGTCTATAGACTAGTGTTTCTGGGCCGCCGGCAGAGAGGTAAAGAAAACTAACCTTAAAACGAATTAACAGATTTAAAAAGTGTGCCTGGTGGTGGTCTGCAAATCTCCGTTGGAATTTATTAAAAAGGATGCTTGGGCGAGTTGGGTATTCATAATGTAGGAAATAGCGCAAAGTAAACTCACACTGAAAATACACGCACACCAGAAAAATCTCCGTTGAAATGCCTTCATGTCATGAGTTTCGGGCAAGCAGCGCCAGTTCGCGGTAATATGGCTCGCTCGAGAAGTTACTTAGTCCTCAATGTGACTTGACGGAGAACGCTAACGTGTTTATTGGGCGCCATATTTGAGGACAATTTACTGGGCGCCATGTTTGAGGACAATATTTAGAGCGCCATGCCCAGAACGAGCTCACATTATTAGGCTGTTAAGACCGGCAATCTTGATGGTGCGGAATGCACGTTCCAAAAGAACTGTGGAAGCTCGCCGTCAGCACGCGCTCAACAATCGTAGACACAGTTATGGCCCCCAGTGAATACTCCCTATAGGAAGTATTCACTGGCAGCCATAGCTGTGTGCACGACTGCTCAGCGCGTGCTGATGGCGAGCTTCCACAGTTCTTTTGCAACGTGCATTCCGCACCCTCAGGATTGCCGGTCTTAGCAGCCTATTAATGTGGGCTCGTTCTGAGCACGCGCTCTCGACAGCACCCACAAATATGGCGCCCAGCGAATACTCCTTATACATTAAAGCTTCCACAATGATTCCGGAGCGCGCAGTTCACAGAATCAACATCAATGTTTTTTTTTGCAGGCGATAGGCACGAAGTCGATCTGGATATGAGGGGCCTCTGCAAGGCCAACCATAAAACTACCTTACCCCTAGGATGCGCTGTGAATAACGCACTCAAATATGGCACCCGTGAATACCTTATATACATACTTGCAAATGTCGCCATTGGTCTGTACTAATGGTTATTTCTTCTTGCTGGTTTCATTGAGCTACTACTACTTCTGCGTTATGAAACTAACACGGTTAACCGAACGCTCGTATCACATGAAATACCGTCATTGCCGTGAATGTCGTTACGGGCAAGCTATGTAAAAGCCATAGGGCGTACAGTCCTCGGATATTACTTCTAGGCGAGATTGTCACGCGTTGACGCCACTAAGCGGCAACGCTCGCCACTACAGTAACCTTGGCACTGCCGGACTATACTCTGTTTAAAGGGCAACTTCGCTCAATTCCCAAGATTTCGGGATAATGAGTGATTTCGAATTAAAACGCCCTAGTAAAAGACACTACGTCGTTTGCTTCGCGAAAAATGGGATACACATTTTTAAATATAATTTTAAACACGAGCGGAAATCGAAACTGAAACTTCGGCCCCGTCCGGCAACATTGGCCTCGGGCCGCCAAGTACACGGCCATCACGTGGTACGAGATGTCACGTGATCCTTGGCCCAACGACGGGCGGGATAAGGGCAGGCGTGCGGCAGGCGCGAGTGTCGTCTGCACCGCACTGTTCGCCGCGTTTTGGTGTCTACGGCATTCGACGACGTCTGCACAACTGCGGCGTAAGTCTGCGACTCCGCGCACGTTGTGTCCATAGTGTGGACGAAACTCCGAGAAGCAATAATCACAAACGGTGAGACGACGACGGTGGTTGTGACGCGGAAGACGGCGGTAACGGCGGGACCACGGCGGGCGGTTGGTCTGCTCCCAAGAAGCGCGCTGCACAGGCGCGTACGCCAATCACGTGGACACCGCTGAGCGCCGAGAGGAAACGTTGCTGACGTCATGCGCTACGCTCGATCGGAGAAGTAAAAACAAGCAAAAGGGGGCCATGGTGATGACGTTTAGCTCAATGTTGGCTCCGCCCATGCCGTAGCCTTGACTGCGCTCTTGGTTGCGCCTGAATTCGACCGCTCGAGTCAGCCGAGTTCGGCAACTTGGCGAGTTGCAAAGTTTGCCGGGCCGTTTAAGAAACATTTAGACAGAACTGCGTCGTAATATTTGACGTTTGGTCTTCCTAGGCGATACTGAAGAGGACTGCATTGTTTTTTTTCAAAACCAAAAATGAAGCGGAGTTGCGCTTTAAAGGGGCCATCAAACGAAGTTTGTGCTCGGATAAATGATTTTAAATTGGGACTTTACTAATCCCATATCGTTCAGTTGGCCAAAAGAAAAAGGTTAGAAAGTCAAAAGCCAGCTTTTCGGTACGAACATTTGAAAGTATAGCGGACTATTTTGTACCCTCTTTCCTTCGAAAGCTCTCCGCTTTTTCACTATGATACATCCGCGGTTCCCCAGGCGCATCAAGGACAAGTAGCCACGATCGCCGATCGTCGCTACGGGTCTGCGTATATTTCCGCGGGCAGATAATGCACATGAGGCGTATTTCTTAAGTAACGCGCACAACTATGCCTTTGATGGTTAGCATGACGCGCTTTGTGAAATCCAAGTTGGCTTTGCGCAGGGGCGGGGTCGTCAGCCAACCTACTGGCTTACTGGCAAGCAAGGGTTCAACAAAGCTCTTCCGTCTCCTCCTCGCGACGACGAGTAAGAAAACCTACTTTTTTTGCAAAAATGAGCGAAATTTGAAAGTTGTCACAGTGACACTTCCGCGTTCTATCTCCCAGAAAGCGACCGGTATTCAGCTGCCTTCTTTTTGCTCTCATGCTCTCAGTGGGAACAATCATGGGTAAGTCCTTATTTCGTATTTGATTTTACGTATCAAGTTGCATAGTTGTTGAACTGTATTAAAACTGCAAGTTTAGCTAGTTGGTTTTGATTCATAATGGGAATATACGCCAAAAACACGAGGAGAAGAAGGTGAGAGGCACACAAGATAGGGCGCCCTATCCGGTGTGGTACTGTTCTTCTTGTCCCTGTTTTTTTTTTTGGCTTATATCTCTAATATAGTTGTTTAAGGTTTACCGAAATGCTTGAAGCATGTAAACCAATTGAATAAATAATAAATTATTGAGATGACTACCCTTTAATTTGGGCTATCGTTTTGAGCCAAATAGGATGACTACAATTCCGTAAGCTTATATGGAGTGGTACTAAATGGCAACCAAGCGAAACTCCAGCAGTAAGTAGTGTTTTTATTTAGTGAAGTATACCTTAACTTTGTTTAAAATACATCAAATAGTGGCTCGGGGTATTGAAGAACATATTGTAGTGATCAGCCGGCGCGAGAAGAAGAGGAAGAGGACAAGCAGCACGAGACAGCTTTGGAAACGACGTTCGTCCCAGCTTCGCCACTCGGCCGCTTAACGCTTTTTAGATGTATATATGTATATATTAAATATTTATGTAGTCCACACGCTACATATTGGTGACCCGATCTAAACGACATCAGCCTCCTGCAAGCTGCCTATAATCAGCTGTGTTCTTGGTGAGCTACTCAACACATTCATTTTTTCACAATGGACGTTCGCAACGACGTGGATTCTTCTGATACGCCCACCGCGGTACAGGCGACGGCAGCCCCGATCAAGTTTCCAGAATTTTGGTCTTCGGATTCAGAACTATGGTTTCTAACTGCCGAGTCGATATTTCGCAAACATCGCATCACATCCTCTCTTACCAAGTTTGACTACGTGGTTGCCGCTCTTTCCCAGTCAACCGCAGCCATCGTCCGTGACATCTTGCGCTCTCCGCCTGAAGAACAGCCCTACGAGACGTTACGTACGGAACTCGTGCGGCGTACGACGGATTCTGAGCCTCGACGGATACAGCAGCTGCTTACAGCCGAAGAGTTGGGAGACAGAAAACCCACAGAACTTCTCCGACGAATGGAGCAACTTCTCGGTGATAAGGCAGGGACTATGGACACGTCAATCTTGCGAGAACTTTTTTTCCAACGTCTGCCGCAGCAAATTAGGCTCGTCCTGACCACTACCACCACGGAGTCCGTCACGACACTGGCTCGCATGGCAGACCAGATGATGGACGTCTACTCACCTGGAATATCATCCGTCCATTCACAGACGATCAACCCGACGTCACGCCTATCTGTGGCTGATCACAACGCCCAGCCACAAGCCCCGGATCTCCTGGCAGCCTATGTGCGCATGGAACAGAAGATCGACGACCTCAGCAGACAGTTTCGAAACATTCAACAACGACCCTCAAGATCATCGCGCAGTACCGAAGTCACTACTGCCAACCGTCGAGTAAATGTCGACAACCGAACCACCACCTCGTCGAGTGCCTCTACTCAGCAACAGCAGTGCTGGTATCACCTCCGTTATGGGAACGCTGCTCGCCAGTGCCGACAGCCATGTTCCTTTTCGGAAAACGGGATGGGCACTCGCTGAAGGCGGCAAACATCGAGAGCCCTACATCATCAAACCGCCTGTTTTACGTGACCGATCATTCAACCAAAGTTCGCTATTTAGTAGACACTGGCGCCGAAGTCAGTGTAGTCCCTCCTACATCAGAGGATCGCCGATATCGACAAGAAACTCCCCCGCTTCAAGCGGTGAATGGATCCACAATAAAAGCCTATGGAGAAAAGTCACTGACTTTGAACATCGGTCTCCAGCGGACATTTCGTTGGATCTTCATGATCGCTGACGTGAGGCAGGCCATCATCGGGGCGGACTTTTTAAGACGATTCGGTCTCACCGTCGATTTACGGCACTATCAACTCATCGATACCGAGACGCAACTTCGCGTCCAAGTGTTGGTATCCAAGACACCACCTCTGAGTCCTTTTCTTCCACGTGCGGAGACCGACTCAAAGTGGAAAAGCATCGCGGACGAGTTTCCCTCTGTGTTCGGGCCAAACACGGTTCAACGGTCGGTTGAACACAATATTACCCACCACATTAAGACAACAGGCCCTCCTGTCTTTGCACGCCCACGTCGCCTGCCACCAGAACGACTTCAGATTGCCAAACACGAGTTTGAGCATATGCTTGAACTCGGGTATGTGCGTCCATCTTCGAGTCCCTGGTCTTCAGCTCTACACATGGTGCCAAAGAAGGGGGGCGACTGGCGACCATGTGGGGATTATCGGGCCCTCAACCAAGCTACGGTTCCCGACCGTTACCCTATACCCCATCTTCAAGACTTTGGTGGATTACTTCAGGGTGCTACGATCTTCAGTAAAATAGACCTCGTCAAAGCATACCACCAGATTCCCATCGAACCCGAACACATTCCAAAGACTGCAGTCACAACTCCGTTCGGATTGTACGAGTTCGTGCGAATGCCTTTCGGCCTTCGCAACGCAGCTCAAACCTTCCAGCGGTTCATAGACCAAGTGCTGCGTGGGATGTCCTTCTGCTTCGCATATCTGGACGACATCCTGATTTTCAGCACCATGTCTGAAGAGCATGCCAGCCACCTCCGGCAACTGTTCACACGACTGGCAACATATGGCCTGGTTGTAAATGCGACGAAGTGCGAGTTCGGTGTCAAGGAGCTAGATTTTCTTAGACATCACGTAGATTCTCGGGTAATCCAACCGCTTCCTGACAAGGTGGCAGTAATTCGCAGTTTCCCCCAACCACCAACAGCAACAAAACTTCGAGAGTTTCTTGGACTCGTCAACTTTTATCGTCGGTTTATCCCTCACTGCGCCCATATGTCCCAACCGCTATACGACCTCCTCCAAAACCCAAAGATGAAGGCAACACCGCTGCAATGGACGCAGAAAGCGGAGGACGCCTTTAGAGCAGTGAGAGAGGCCATCGCAAATGTCACCATGTTGATGCACCCTAGAAGTGACGTGCCCATTTCTCTTATCGTCGACGCCTCAGACACCGCCGTCGGGGCTGTCCTCCAACAACTGGTTGGGAACACCTGGCATCCTCTCGCATTTTTTTCGAAGGGTTTAAGTGCCACTGAAGCTCGCTACAGCACATTTGGTCGAGAGCTCCTTGCTATTTACCTCGCCATACGACATTTTCGACACTTCATCGAGGGCCGCCAATTTTATGTTCTCACTGATCATAAACCTCTCACGTACGCACTAACATCAAACAGCGCGGCACATACGCCTCGAGAAGTACGACACCTTCTCTATATATCAGAATTTACTACTGATATTCGATTCGTGAAAGGTTCTGACAACACCGCAGCCGATGCACTTTCCAGGCTAGGTGTCAACCTCTGCATCTCCGACTGTCCCGAGATATCCTACACGGAACTTGCGGCAGCCCAACGAGAAGACACAGAACTCCAACGCCTACGAACATCATCTAAAACACTCACCTTCAGGGCATCCAGATGCATGGTTCTTCTGTCACTGTGGCCTGCGAAATGTACACTGGCCGTCCCCGCCCGTTTGTACCCCTAGAATTCCGTCGCAAGGTTTTTGAGGCTGTCCACTCACTGTCTCATCCCGGAATTCGTGCTACACAACGACTCGTGGGATCTCGGTTCGTTTGGCCACGCATGAATACAGAAGTGCGAGAGTGGACAAGAACATGCATCCAATGTCAACGAAGCAAGGTTCAACGCCATACTGTGACCCCGCTGACCGCCTTCAACCCTCCTGACGCGCGATTCATCCACATTCATGTCGATATTGTCGGCCCGCTTTTCCCATCGCACGACTGCCGTTACCTGTTGACCTGCGTTGACAGGTTTACTCGATGGCCAGAAGTGGCCCCCATGAAAGACATAACAGCACAGACTGTCGCCCGCACGCTCGTCGAAATGTGGATAAGCCGGTTTGGCGTACCCGAGACCATTACAACAGATCGCGGACGACAATTCGAATCGCTACTGTTTCAGAATCTGTCTCAGCTCTTGGGCACACACCACATACACACTACCGCCTACCATCCGATGTCCAACGGAATGGTCGAACGTTTCCACCGGCAATTGAAAGCGGCCATCAAAGCCCAAGATAAAACACTTTCGTGGACAGAGACCCTTCCCTTGGTTATGCTCGGCATTCGGACAGCGTTCAAGAGCGATCTGAACTGCACCGCAGCGGAGTTGGTGTATGGGACGTCCCTTCGCATCCCGGGAGAGTTCTTTCACAAAGCCAGCAATCCCGCAATTGCCAGCGCGGAAGATTATGTTCATCGGTTGCGGCTCCTGATGCAGGACTTGCGGCCTGTGCCTTCACGAGTTCCTTCCACACGGAGCACCTTTATCAGCACAGACCTCGCAAAGTGTAAACACGTTTTTCTTCGAAACGAAGGCGTCAAAACGCCACTCCAACCTCCGTATGAAGGTCCGTTCCCCGTTATACACAGAGATACAAAGACGTTCACGATCCTTGTTAAGAACAAAGAACAAGTCGTAGCTATCGACCGAGTCAAACCCGCCCACCTGGACTCAACCGCAACACCGCCTTTCCCACCTCCTTCTCATCCGACCTCGACCAGGCGTCCCCAGAAAAACTATGCGTGACACGGTTGCTCCTAGCGCTAAAAAGAAAACGCTTGGTCACTGCGCCTCCAAGCTAGGGGGGGGGGGGGGGATATTGTAGTGATCAGCCGGCGCGAGAAGAAGAGGAAGAGGACAAGCAGCACGAGACAGCTTTGGAAACGACGTTCGTCCCAGCTTCGCCACTCGGCCGCTTAACGCTTTTTAGATGTATATATGTATATATTAAATATTTATGTAGTCCACACGCTACAATATTATTTGCCTTTACGTGTGCTTCGGGAAGAATCATAATGTGGTATGTGTATTAGGACATATGGGGCATGCACATCAGCCGGCACACGT